ATGTAAATGCTAGATCACTCTTGTTTATGTTTGGATTGCAGAATGAATGATTGAGAATATAATTACAAACACACAATGTGCCACTTCCTCCATCCATCCAATGGCTCTAGAGCCCATATTGGGCCTTGGCCTCCTAGTGCCAATTATTTGGCAAAATGCATTGATGTCTGTAGAAACAATTAATCCGAAGTTATTAATATGTTTATATTGCCTTACACCATCATTAAATTTAATTATTATAAATATAATTTGTCAGTTCATAAAAAATTTGTTTTAACCAAGATTTTAAAAAAAATAAATAAAGCATGACAATAAATTTTTCAAGTAATGTTGATGATAATACAGCGTGTTTCAAAAGTAGCTTTACAACTTGAGGGTGAGATATTGGTGAACTGATAGGAGAAACATATAATTTCAGAACATAGAAATGTAGTCAAACACTTCAAGTTTTATGTCCATCAGATATTTATGGTTCAATGTGACTTCCATTTGTTATGTAGTCAATTTCTTGCCACACGCGGTGTAGCATCTCTGGTGTCACTTCAGCAACTGCGGTGGTAATTCGAGTTCGGAGTTCGGCCACATCTGCAGGTAAGGGTGGCACGTACACTCGATCTTTAACAAATCCCCACAAGAAAAAATCTAAAAGTGTTAGATCCGGGGAACGAGGTGGCCATGCTATTGGTGCGGCCTGACCAATCCACTGACCTGGGAAACGGTTGTTGAGGTACTCGCGCACTTCTCCGAGGTAATGAGGGGGTGCACCATCTTGCTGGAAGTGAATGCGTCCTTCCTGGTCATCTTCGTCAAGTTGAGGAATGAGGAACTATTGGAGCATGTCCAGATACACAATGCCGGTAATAGTCTTCTCCATGAAAAAGAAGGGGCTGTACACTTTATCTTTGCTGAGGGCCCAAAACATTAACTTTTGGACTGTCATGAACATGTTCCAGGAAGGTACGTGGATTTTCACTACCCCAAATCCTGCAGTTGTGGGCGTTGACCTTACCAGTGACATGGAACGTGCTTTCGTCACTGAAAATTACCGAGTCCAGAAATCCTTCGTCGTCTTCAAACCCGCCGCAACATTCCAGTACTACAGTTTACGTGCGTGAAACTCGATGTGTTTGGCTAAATTTGTGCGTTTAAAAATATTCCGCACGTCCTTTAAATAAATTTATGTTCTCCTGGGAAGTTGTAAAGCTACTTTTGAAACACGGTGTATTTCAGAGCACAGATTTTGAAGCCATATGCGAGGGAGGGATTTCATAAAGCATGTGATTTTAGTCAGGATTGTTTTTCAACTAAATGTGGTTGTACAGTGAATGTCATCCTCTTCGGGAAGGGGACAACTGGCTAGCCCATAATTTAATTTAATTGGTGTGTGGGCCAGAGGCCCGAATGGAATTTGATGTTTTCATTAAATTGCAAGGGTGAGATGGGACAGAACATATTCTTCGTCCACTCTGCCGACAAACGCAATGAAAGGAGAGGCGAGGTCCACCGGAGGTAATAAATTACTTTCTAAAGCAAGGACTAGGATTTTTTTAAAGTGGTGTTGAGAGAATTGCATTTTGGGTTCTGTTGAGAATAAAAACGCGTATTACCACATTTTGCTCAGCTTGAGATATCTTCATGCCCCACCATTGGGGCACATCCCACAGTTTGATGAACACTGTCTTCAACAAGTGAACGCCACCCAGCGGCTGAATTTTGGTGGCCTTTTATTCGTTAACTGTCTGTCTCATCGCATGCATAATTCTCCCGTCATGTCACTCTACATAAATATCCTGCAAAGTGACTTCAGGATAGTGGAAGCAACAGTTTTTGCTCAGAATGTTAACAAGAGTGTAAAAGATTTCTGTCTTCTGGGTTGTTGCGCTGTGTAGTCTGGTAGATGTTAACCAACGTTTCAGAGGTCATACTGCCTCCATCATCAGGGCGAT